GTGAGAGAGAGAGAGAGAGAGAGAGAGAGAGAGAGAGAGAGAGTGTGTGTGTGTGTGTGTGTGTGTGTGTGTGTGTGTGAGAGAGAGAGAGAGAGAGAGAGAGAGAGAGAGTGTGTGTGTGTGTGTGTGTATGTGTGTCTGTGTGTGAGGGAGAGAGAGAGTGTGTGTGTGTATGTGTGTCTGTGTGTGAGAGAGAGAGAGAGAGAGTGTGTGTGTGTGTGCTCACCACTCCTGTGTGATGCGTGTCTGTAGTTCAGGCAGCAGGAACTGGTGGTGGAAGAGGTAGATGCTGGAGATGTTGGAGAAGATTCCTGTGATGACCTCAGCAGGGATGCCAGCCTCCGTCAGACGAGCACAAAACACCTGGACACACACACACACACACACACACAATGATACAGGTGTTACTGTTAATCTATAGCTCAGGATAGAGACAATCAAATTACGTAACTTGTTTAAAGTTTAGTAACATTTTGGTCTAATTCAAACGCTTCAGAAAACAGTGTTTTTTTGGAGCTTCGTGGTTTTGGTCACCATTCACTTGCACTATATGGACCTATGGAGCTGAAACATTTTCTGAAACTCTGCAGAAGAAAGAAACTCAAACCCATCTGGGACGCCACTGGAGAATTGTTTGTTCCTTTAAGGAGCACTTTTTGCGCTCTCTCGTTTCATACAAACGCACCTCAGTTTTCGACTGCATTTACTGTAAAATGAAACCAGACGACTTCAGTGTTAATAGCAGGTCTGTGGTAATGTTGTTGACGTGTTTGTATGTGTGTCTGTGTGTGAGAGAGAGAGAGAGAGTGTGTGTGTGTGTGCTCACCACTCCTGTGTGATGCGTGTCTGTAGTTCAGGCAGCAGGAACTGGTGGTGGAAGAGGTAGATGCTGGAGATGTTGGAGAAGATTCCTGTGATGACCTCAGCAGGGATGCCAGCCTCCGTCAGACGAGCACAAAACACCTGGACACACACACACACACACACACACAATGATACAGGTGTTACTGTTAATCTATAGCTCAGGATAGAGACAATCAAATTACGTAACTTGTTTAAAGTTTAGTAACATTTTGGTCTAATTCAAACGCTTCAGAAAACAGTGTTTTTTTGGAGCTTCGTGGTTTTGGTCACCATTCACTTGCACTATATGGACCTATGGAGCTGAAACATTTTCTGAAACTCTGCAGAAGAAAGAAACTCAAACCCATCTGGGACGCCACTGGAGAATTGTTTGTTCCTTTAAGGAGCACTTTTTGCGCTCTCTCGTTTCATACAAACGCACCTCAGTTTTCGACTGCATTTACTGTAAAATGAAACCAGACGACTTCAGTGTTAATAGCAGGTCTGTGGTAATGTTGTTGACGTGTTTGCCTGCTAGAACAATAGTTTTATACACTGAAATAGGTAAGATTTTGAAATGCTTTCTTCTGAAATCAATATTTCATGTCCATGTGATTAATAATAATAGTGATTAAGTGGCATGACTGTACATTTTCCCTTAAATGCATATAGTTTGAACTTGTTCATTCGTCTGGGCTCAAAGCCGTTTGTTAGGAATGTTTTTCTTCACGAAAGCTTTGCATCTAAGGAGCTAATACATTTCCACTCAAATCAATATTTTGTGTCCAATTATTGACTTATGTAGCGAGTAGCTGTGTAATAAGTGGTATAAGGTGATACAAGACCCCTGCGTTTCACATCCACATCCTGATATTGTCAATGACAACGGCTCTTTTACTTGTCATTTAGCTGGAAGAAGGATTGTTTACAGTTGATTTCTTCTATATTTTATATAATTATCTAAATAATCAAATAGCATTTTAATTTATAATTAAATCAGTTGATTAAATCAAATGAATAAATCAAATAAAAGTAAATAATCACAGTAATTCCTTCTCATCAGGCCTTTTTTTAGATGAGAAGGACGCTGGCCTTGCTGCATCAATCACCACTTTCAAATGGAGTAAAATTAAAAAGATGAGAACAAGAAAAGCACAAAAGCAGCAAGCGTTTCTCAATGTTTTATGGAGACACATGACAGTGTGGTCTGAAAGCTTGTTGTGGGTTTATTCTGCCCCAAGGAATCAGTTTGACACGAAATCAAAAATCATTGATTGTAGAGGAAATAAACTAAGAGGAAGTGTCAGAAACAGGAAGCCGTGTGAACACAAAACACCTCATTTCAATGTAAATAAGGAGAAACTCTGAATACTCAAATGCAGCATGCGGACGAAAGGGGAAACGGAGGACTAGTGATCTGTGCTGGTGTGTGTGTTACCTGGTCCAGCAGGTTGAGTCTTTTCACATACGCTTCTTCTGTCTGGAGCAACTCTTTAGCGATGTTCAACAGCTTCTGCGACTGAGAGACAGAGAGAGCAAGACAGGAAGGCACATCGGTTTCAGGCAAACTAAAAAAAGACAAAAACCGTGTTTAAAAATGCCACATGCCTGGTAACAAACTTCCTTCAAACTAGTGTTTTACCACTTACACAGTCACAAAATGACTAACAGGAAAGAAAATATTGTTCTTCAGCAGTGTTGGGCTATTTAGTCAAAAAATCGAATATATTACTCATTACTAAAGTAACATTATCCACATCCACTGTCTTCACTGACACACACATAAACACACTCCTGCAATCAAAAGCAGGAAACCGTCTTTACATTGACAGCCAAGCAGTGAATGCACTAAAGCCTCTAGCAGAACAACACCGCTTTATCAAACACCGCAGATTAACACAAAATACTTTTTATTTGAGAAAACAAACCAAATATGTGTTTCCAGTAATGCAGATACAAGGAAAGTGATGGTTCAGATGGTGCATTTGAAATTTTTATGGTATATGGATGATTCTAATCTGTTTAGGTTATATTTTACTTCCAAAACAAAGAGAACAAATGTACTGTGCATGAATAAAATAGTCATTCTTTTCCCAATCTCTCATTCTCATACAGTGATTTAAGAGCATACAGTAAAATAATACAATTGTAAATAGTACTGTTTTTAATTCAGGCTTTTATTGAAAACAAAACCCATTGCATTATATAAAAATGACTACTGAATGAGAATCATCAGGGAGAAAACCATCTTAAATGGTCTTTTGATTGTGCAATGACATTTTTTGTAATATTCAAGCATATGTTCTGTCAGACCAAATAAATAAATTCAACCGTGCAAAAATGTGGAAAATTAGATCAATTAGTTTCAAGAAATCTAAACGACATTTTTCACATCTTGTTCTTCGCCTCAGTTAATGTCGGGCAGCCATGATAGATGCATCTATCGCTCACATGCACACACACAACAGCAGCTCATCCCACATCCTGTGTGACAGCATGCTATTAAAACCACACACACACCTTTCCTACAGCAGATGTGCTGCTCACTCCAGGAAACACAGGAAAGACCAGAGCTGTGTGTGGATCTGAGCACAAAGCGTGAAGAATCCAGAGGTATCAGGGCGTGTGTTTGGTGAATGCGTGTGCTCTTATTATGGGCGACTCCTGCTGCGTGGACACAAAGCTCTGTTCCTGTCACACCTTACCGGCACAAAAACACTCCTGCAGTCTCTCTGGGGCCTGACTAACTGCTGACTTGCACCTATACACTCTGCAGGTCTGGGCCCGTATTCACAAAATATCTTCAGGCTAAAAGTAGCTCATAACTCGCTGATTTAGGAGAAAATCTAAAAAATAATGGGCGTGCCAGTCCTAAATTTAGGACTCCTAAATGTTTGCTCTAAGAGTATTTCACAAAGCGTTTTAGCTCTAAAACTAGCTCCTAAATCTGTGAAAGGTTAGGAGCAGTGAAGAGGACTCCTAAGCCACTAAGACCAAGCCACAAACTATCCTAAAATAGCTGTTGCTGGCAATCTGTCTCTGAACGCAAACATTTGAGAAACATTTGAGGATAATGAGCTTTTAAAAAGGTATCACCTTTGGTTTTGGAGGTTACCCCAACTCCAGATTTTCCTTTGATTATATCCTCGCTTTCATTAAGCAGCTGGTGAAGAAGTAACAGCTCTTCTTGAGTCCAGTTTGGTTTTCTTTTACGTTTGCATGTCTTACTATCAGCCATGATTATTCTACTCTGTTAATTAAAAGGCTGTTTATAAGCATATTCACTAATTATGAGAAGCACACATGTAAGAGGCTGACAATTAGCTGGACATATACTTGTTTAATTAGTGACTCTTAGCCTGCATTTTAAAATCTTGATTTGAATGTGGCAACATTTTTAGTTTTGAACCTATATTTGAATATGGCAACATAATATTGCACTCTACAATATTTCTATGAATAAATCTCTGACAGAGACTATCAGCCAATCACTGTGTGCATCGTTAATAATCATGCTGACCTCATCCATAGCAACGAGGTAAACCCACTATATGGTTAGGGTTAGGATTAGGGTTTGGTTTAGGGTTAGTTGCATGAAATTATGCATAATTTTAGGGATGTACCGATGACCGGTTTGACGATAAATCATGATAAAATTCCCCATGGTTAGTATTACCATTTCATCATTGATTAATTATCATTTTTACTTAAAGGGATAGTTCAACCAAAAATGAAAATTCTGTCATTAATTACTCACCCTCATGTCGTTCCAAACCCATAAGATCTTCGTTCATCTTCAGAACACAAATTAAGATATTTTTGATGAAATCTGAGAGCTCTCCGACCAGAGCTGGCACCAGCGCAGCACTCATGAGGGGACAACTGAGGTGATGAAAGGGGGCGATGACATACCACAAAGTTAAAAAAAAAAAAAAAACCTATGTGGCCCATTCACGTATTTGTCGGACCGTAAACAAACCTGCTCGCTACTACTACAACTATTAGAATACAGGGTTCACACAGATAGTGTTTTGGTCACGAGACAAATTATTGTAATTAAGTGCGAGGTCTAGAGAAGTGTTTTAGAAGCTGAATTTCTTTGAACGTGAGCGCTGTGTTTTAGAATGATTTATTATGCACGAGAAGCTGCTAAGACT